AGGCATTTCTAAGGAGCCACGCTGAGGAGAAAGATACCATACTGTCCGCAACATGTGTAACCTATCCAATTACAACTAGGACTAATCTCATAAAGCTTGCAGACATTCCAATGGGAATATGATTATTTGCATGTAAAGAAAAAGGTTTTCTTAAACCAACTTATAAATTCTAATTTGAAAAATTCCATCCCACTCTTAAGGGGTCATTATAAAATATGAAATAGACTATAAACTAATACAGTCTTTAAAATCTTGAAATATTTATCAAAATATGTTATACAACAGGAATTGTAAATTCAAATGCTTACAGAGGCAACGTAGGTGACCTGAGTAAGTGAAGGTCCCAGGTGAGGACAGCAAACCGGAGAACACATGCCCCACCGAGAAGGGGCCACCTGTGCAGGGCAGACGGCATAGGAGCCTGGGCTCAAGGGGGACCAGATTTGATTCTTTAGGAGAAGTTCTGAAATGCAGATTTCTGCACAAGTCTCCTAAATTTTAAATGTTGACTCAATGTATGGAGGCAAACAACATATCCAGGGGCCATGTTTAGTTTATAGCCCACTTGTGTTCTTATGTTTGCTGTGTTTCCAAACAGTTGGGTATAAATCAAGTATTTGTATGTAAAACCTTGCCTTTCTTTGGTATCACATATCTCACAAACAAAAACACTGGGCCCCAACATGTAATAAAAATTGCGATTAAGACTCATCATACCCACTTCAAGGATTTTTCCAATGCCTACTAAAACTACAATCTATCTGTATTGAATTCTCCCTGATTGTTAATCAAATGGATAATTAGGCTTAAGGATTAAGAGGTATAAACAATCAAGCACAAAATAAGCTACAAGGATGTATTGACATCATGGGGAATAGAGCCAATAGTTTATTATAACTATAAGTGGAGCATAACCTTTAAAAATTTGTGAATCACTAAACTGCATACCTGTAACATATAATATTGTACATCGACTATACCTCAGTTAAAAAAATATGATACTGTAAAATAAATACATTTAAAAAAGGCTCATAATACCCCCTTCAAGAATTTTTCCAATGCCTACTAAAACTACAATCTACCTGTATCTAATTCTCCCTGATTGTTAATCAAATGGATAATTAGTTCACAAGACAGCTGAAACTAAATTATTAAAACAATTCCCGTTTGTTACTAACATCATGGGTTTTGATGTTTAAAACTGCCATCTTGTATGGTGTACTTATATATAATGGAATATGACTCAGCCATAAAAAAGAATGGAATAATGCCATTTGCAGCAACATGAATGGACCTAGAGATTCTCATACTGAGTGAGGTAAGTCAGAGAGTGAAAGACAAATCCAGTAGGGTATCACTTAATACGTGGAATCTAAAATATCACACAAATGAACTTATTTACAAAACAGAAATGGACTCACAGACATAGAAAACAAACTGACAGTTAGGGGAAGAGGATTTGGGGAGGAATAAATTAGAGGTTTTGGACTAGCAGATACAAACTACTATATATAAAATAGATAAACAACAAGGTCCTACTATATATACTACAGGGAACTATACTCAATATCATGTAGTAAACCATAATGGAAAAGAATATGAATATATATATATAAATGAGTAAGAATATATATAAAAATTGAATCACTTTGCTGTACATGAGAAACTAACACAACACTGTAAATCAACTAGACTTTTAAAAAAGACTGTCATCTTGATTATGCTAGGGCTCAGTGAATCTAACAGATACACTGCAAGAGTCTGTCACACGCTTTAACCAAAAGAAGGCTCATGATTTCCTATTACTGCAATCAGAAAAACCCTGTTGACCTAATGACCTGGATGGGAACAAAAGGTGCAAAATCTTTAAAGGTTCTGGCTCTACTTATTAAATCACTCACCACAAGCAAATTTCTAAGACTGTCTAAGTGCTACTGAATGATCAGCGGTTAGAAGGAAAAAGGAGCTATTCTTCAAGCCAATAGATATTGCCAGTAATATTGCCAGTAAACTCCTCAATCACAGAGGAAGAGACAGATAAAAGTCAGGCTAACATGGCTGGAAAGGAGAGCACTGAAAGAAGCGGTATCTATCAAACTCCTGCTCTTCTAGAGATGTCTTATTTTTGAGATCTGTGAATTTACCTGTATTACACGTATCCATTCAATGAGCATGGAAGACCCCAAGGTGAAGGTGTACATGGAGAGCCATGTGGCCACCAGCACAAGTGAATGCCCCTGCTGGCTGTCAAACATGACCTGACCTCGCTTGCCCAGATTCTAGAACCTGGGGTCCTGGGGCGCTCAGGGCCTGTGGCTTGCTGCCTCCCTTGCCCAGGTGCAGTCACCCAGCTCCCCCTGCTGCTACTGGGTTCCTTCCTCCTCCTACCCATCCCCAGTAGCACCCCTGCCCCTGCAGGCAGCCAGCCCTTGCCATCACTTCACTCCCCACAAGCCTTCATCTTCTGTAGGCCCTGAGCCTACCACCCACTCCCAGGCACCTCCTAACGGGAAGCTGTTCCTTCTGGGGTAGAAGTGTGGCTGGGAGACAGAGCTCTGCCCTTTCTGTGGGCACTACCTCTGGCCCCCGGCCTTGGCTTTGGAGTTGCTTCCATGGTAACAGGGCCTGATGTATTGTATTCAGTATACATATTACTATAAATAAAACACCTGTAGCTAGAAAAGACCCTGTATTTCAAATATCTTGTACATAAAGTTAGTTGAGCTATATATCTCATTTATCGCCTCGATATTTGCATTACAGCGGAGCAGCTGTGTTGCAATTGACGTATTCTCAGCCAAGACGGTGTAATGGAGAGCAGTGTTTTGACTGTCGTCCTCAAGATTTGGGTCAGCACCATGTTCCAGCAAGATAATGACACATCCATCATTCTGGCATTGTACAGCCTGTTGGTATCACGCCAAGAAACAGACTGTAAGTGCTAGGCATTCCAAGTTAACATTCCCCAAGTTCCATCAGTTCGTTATATTTAAAACAGATAAATTCATTTTTATTCTAAGTAATTAAACCAGATCCATCTCACATGGACATGTTTGGCTGCTACACACCTTGATGAGAGCTGTCTTGCTTTCCTTGTCACAAGCATCCAGATTACAATTCCACTGGATAAGGAGAGCCACCACTGATGACTGGCTGCTGATGCAGGCTAAGTGTAGGGCAGTCCTGCGAACATGAGGGGACTTTTTAGGAAATTAGAGCATACTAGTTCAAAGATACAATTACTCACGTAACTGTAAACATTCAACAAACAGCATGCTATTCCTACCCCTTTAAAACTAACATTTAGTCTTCTTATCTTAGTTCTTTCTATGGAGAAACAACCATATTTATTATTACTCTTATTACTTACCACATTAATGGAAGAACAACCTGCTTGAATAGAAAGGGCATGACATTGAAATTCAGCTCAACTTGGGTCTGACTTCTACTTTAACTCTCACTTATTAGCTGTCACTTAGCCTGTCTGTGCCTCAATTTCCTCATCAACAAAATGGGCATGAAGTAGTAGCTACCTCATAGGGTGCCACTGTGATGCTTAAATGCAAAGTGTCTGGCAGTTCCTTGCACAAAATAACAGCTCAATAATTGTTAAATAATATTATAATTGTTATTGTTACTACTATTTTACAAAGACAATATTTCAATTAAGTAAAATGATAGTATACCTACTTTGCTGCTGCAAGGATGAGAGAGAACACTGTACTTCAATGACTCTAACATGCTCATTTGCTCACACTTCAACATCTCTGACATGTGAAGGCAATTTAAAATTCGTCTTACAACCATAGTTGGCAGCATTTTTTTGTTTTACTGCTTCTCATTTTTCCTGTTTGTCTAATTATCATACTGTCTTTTTGTCTCATGTTGCTTTTTGATTGTTGTTGACGTATAACATTACTACATAAATTACAGGTGTATAATATAGTGATTCTCCATTTTTAAAAGTTATACTCCATTTGTAGTTATTATAAAATATTGGCTATATTTCCCATGTTGTACAATAGACCCCTGTAGCTTATTTTAAACCTAACAGTTTGTACCTTTTAGCCCCCTTACCCCTATATTGCCCTTCGACGCTTCCCTCTCTCCATGGTGAACCATCAGTTTGTCCTCTTTATCTGTGAGTTGGCAACATTTAAAACGTCTTATTGGCACATAAAATAGCACGGCGTCATACAACCCATGGTGCCTTCCAGTAAGTGAAGTAAGGACCCACACAACAGGTCTACTGCAGTTCCAGTCACATGCGTGGCTTTTAAATAAACTTTAGTTCTTAAAAGCATTATAGGCAATATTGTAAATCAAGTATACTTCAGTTTAAAAAATGATAAAACAAAAGCATTATGAGGAAAGAGAACTAAAATAACAAAACAAAACAAGAATTCTGGAAAAAGCCACTCTTACTCTGATTTTCAAGAAACTTTAAACCCAAGGGAATTCAGGATTCGAATGAATTGGGATGGCTCATTTTATTTGGTATTTAGATTTATACATTGTTATGAAATCAAACATTTCCAATGATCAATATTAATATTTAACATTATAAATGTTCAAAGGGCAGGTAAAGGTTATCTTTTACAATTTCCTACCTTCAGACAAGCTTTCATTTGATAGAAGGGAGGAGCAGCTTTAATTGGAAATGAAGTGTTAATACCTCAGTTTTTAAGGTCTCATCTTGCTTATTGGGGGTAACGTGAAGTTTTTAAGGATGAAAGGGCTCTGAGAGACAGACAAAGGGTCCTGAGTAGTCTGTCTACTACATAATAGGTATTCAAGTTATATTTGATGAATAAATGGATTGAAAGAATGAAAAAATATAGTTGGGGAGAGTTCAGTCTTTTTAAACTTTTAGAAAGGAAAGCAATACTTTTGCAATAGTAACAGTCACTTGCATTTGCTATTTTTGCCTTTATTTTCATAAGGACACAACTAAAACTTTACAAACTTTTACAATATTAATAATCATTTATTTTACTATTTTTATTTCCATATGAATATATAATATATAATATGATGGTATAAAAAATGTGCACATTAAAAACAAGATGCTGTTTTATTACATTTAATTTTGTTGCTGTCATTATTGATGTGCAGTTCAATCACGTAAAAACTATCAGTAAAGTGCTCTGTAAGGGGAATCACGAGCGGGCCCAAAACCAGCTAAAGCTTTTGCCGCCCAGCACGTCTGCGGGGCCCTGGGCCCCGTGTCAGTTTCCAGGAGCCTCGGAGGGAAAACTGACAGGGGGGTCTGGCCGGGGGCTGCTCCCAGGCCCGCCCCGCCCCGCCGCTGTTACCTGTTCTTCCCGTCTCTGCTGTTCATGAGACTTTTCTTGCATGACAGCAACTCCTCCACTGTGTAACTACCGCCTATACATGCAGCTCTGTGGAGCTGCTTTAGCTCGCTATCGTGGACTGACACCCAGGCACGGGGTTCTGACGATTCCAGCAGTCTCCCTGCCGGCTGCTGGAGATCCTCCGGCTCCTGAAGTTAAAAACTTTTTTCATAATCTGGCCTATTGCCTTCCAACATCGCTCACTTCCCTCCTGGCCTCTTGCCACCTTCCGATCTCAGCACTGGTGCTACAGAGCCACAGAGGTCTTGCTGCCACACCTTGGCTGCAAAGCTCTATGACTTCAAATGTTCTGTCCATAACAGTCATAGCCTAGCAACAGCACTGACCCTCAACTGTCCCTCAATTGTCCCTCCAGAGCCAGTGTCCCTGTGAGCGGGCACAGAGGCCCGGAGGCCCAGTGTGCCTGGTGCGCACGTGGGAGCCTGAGGTGTTTCAAATCTCTGCGGTTGCTTGTGGGCCACTTTGGATTCCCTTCAAATGTTGGTGCTAGGGGGCTGAGTGTTTCGGGACATTCCCAGAAGTGAGGCTTGCCCCTGAGAAAGTCATGTTTGTATGCGACTGTGGTTAGAGTGGGGTGGAACCACAGGATGCCGAAGGCCTAGTCCCCCAGCGCTCCCCACCCCCGCCAAAATCTCTACATCTCCTTACCCCTCAGTTTATTCCTTTCCACATCCCTCTGGGCCCCAGCCAGTCTCCAGGGAATTTAGCAGATGCAAACAGCAGAAAGCTGTTTTCATGGTTTCAGAGATTGTGGCAATATGTATCATTAAGTACAAACTTGAGGAACCAATACACACTCTCCAGATGAAGTGAAAATGCTTCCGCATGCCTGCTGCCCCTGCTCTGTGGCTCAGCCTTACGTTTAGACGCGTTCTTCACTTTTATTTTTTGCTTTTATTTCCACCAATTAAATTTTTAATCAGTCCAAGATTTATTTAGGAGCATGGTATAACATTTGAGAACTTTTTAACCACGTAACTACAAAAACACCACGTCAGTTACTCAGCGAGGCCAGGCTGCTGGCTGACCACTTGCAGGAGGGGTGGAAGGCAGGGCAGGCCTCTTCTTCCTGCCTACCTCCATCCTTCCTCCCTCAGCTGGCTAATTATGGCTTCTGGCCCTGCCAGGGTCAAAACTGCAGGGGGCGGCAGAGTTCCTAAGTGGCTGACACTCCTGGGAGCTGGTCTTGAGTGGACTGGACCTGGCAAGTGTTTTGAAGCTGACTCTCTCAGGGGCATTTCTGGGCCCACACCTGCCCTCGCCTGCAACTCCCCTGACCTAAGGGAATGTGGTGTTACTAACTTCCCCTTTTAAGCTATCTTTTCTAGTAGCATATACTGTTATTTCCCTCACCTTGAAAAAAAAAGATGCGCTCACCCTCCCACTATGGCCCCGTTTCTCTGCTCTCCGGCACACACGCCTCCTGCCCCTGCGAAGGAGCTGTTCCCATTCGCTTCCTCTGATTCCTCTCATTTTCCATCCAAGCAAGGTTGCCCACTCACTGCAACTGCTCACGACAGGGTCCCCCACCACCCACCAGGTTCTGACGCCACAGGGAGCTCTCAGTCCTCTCCCCTGCCGCTGCTCTCCCCGACTTCCCGAAGCCCTTTCCTCACGGGGCTCCCCGGCTCTCAGGCTGCTCTGGTTTCCTCCCACGGCCCTGGCCAGGCTTCTCAGTCCCAGCCCCCGAGTGCTGGCACTCAGCACCCCTGGGGCTCAGTCTTCCGGCCTCTGCTACCTTCTGCTGCCGCCCCCACCTGCCTTAGGGCTTTATGTGTTCTCGACAAGTTGACAACTTCCAAACTTCCATTTCCAACCCAGACCTCCCTCCTGTATTCCAGACTCAAATACCCACTGCCTCTCAACGTCATGTCTTGGAAGTCTAACAGGACTTCACGTTAATATATCTACAACTCAACCTCTAATTTTTCCCTGTAAAAGTTGCTCTTCCCAATAGTCATCCCTACCCAGCAGCTCCATCTTTCCAGTTCCTCTGGCCGAAAACCCAGTAACTCTTTCATTTTCACAACCCACATCCAGTCTACAAGGCCAACAGCTCCACCTTAAGAACACATCCAGATGCTGACCAACTTCTTACCACCTCCACGGTTTACTGTCTCGTAAATGTCTCTCTGCTTCCGCCCTTGCCCTCTGACGGCCTGTTTTCAAAGTCACAGCCAAGGTAAGCAGCGAAGAGGCCAACGTCACTCCTCTGCTGAAAACATCCAGTGACTTCCCATCACGGGAGTAAAGGTGAAGTCCTGTCGGGCCCTGCAAACCTGCTCCACCAAGACACCCCGCCCCCACCCCCACCGCTCTGCTCTCTTTTCTCCTTCTTTCCTCCTCACTGAGTCTAGTTCCGCAAAATGATGGAGAATCTCAAACATCTCATTCAGCGTTCACTCTGAAATGCGAGTATATTTTACATCAGATTTTAACAAGAAGGGTATTACAAATAAGTCAGTGACACCCCAAATCTGATCAGCTGATTAGGCTGAGGTGGAATGAGTAACGTCTAACAGCACGGAAAAAACAAGCATTCAGAGCACATAATTCAGGCCTGAAAAAATGTACTTATCCTCAACCGGTCAATATCAGCACCCAAAGGAAGCAATTCTGGCACCTCCACTGAACGCACACCCCTCTGCCCAGCACACCTCTCTGCCCAGACACCCCTCTGCCCAGCACACCCCTCTGCCCAGACATCCCTCTGCCCAGCACACCCCTCTGCCCAGACACCCCTCTGCCCAGCACACACCCCTCTGCCCAGACACCCCTCTGCCCAGCACACCACTCTGCCCAGACATCCCTCTGCCCAGCACACCCCTCTGCCCAGCACACCCCTCTGCCCAGACATCCCTCTGCCCAGCACACCCCTCTGCCCAGCACACCCCTTGTCCAGCACACCTCTCTGCCCAGCACACCCCTCTGCCCAGCACACCCCTCTGCCCGGACACCTCTCTGCCCAGCACACCCCTCTGCCCAGACATCCCTCTGCCCAGCACACCCCTCTGCCCAGACATCCCTCTGCCCAGCACAC